TTTTTTTTTTTTTTTGTGAAAATTTAATTTTTCACATATTGGCATTTGTGACTTTGAAGTTCCACAGGCCTGAAGACCCATGCTAGTCACATTTTCTGAAAATCCATGATACGTATATTTTATTAATAAAAATTGATTGTCATTATGCTGTTTAACCATTTTGTAATATTGCATCAGAATAGAAGAAAACACAACTTTTGGGTGCTGCTGCCATGATGACCATTATGGGAAAACCATGTTACTTATGATTGCCAAACTTTCAAAAAAAGAAATACAGGACTAAAATGCAGCCTGAGTTCGAAAAGCAGTCTAATTGGCTTCTTTTTCTGGATTTTATACATTTTCAAAGTGTGAACTTGTTACACATTTTACTTACATTGGTATTACCTGTTGAGCATAATTAAAATTTGATGTTGAATTTGCAGTTTAACATAATGTACTTTTGCATCAGAATTGACAGCAGCCTATTTAGTTATTTCCTGCTTTTTGTCTGTACATTTGACAGCTTTGCTGCCTTGTTTTTATTACAGATACCATATACTATATGATTCATAGTTCAGAAAGTACACAATAGCGGTGAACATATTATCTGTAATTATAACAATGACAGAAGTAACATGGACAACGACAAACGAGAACTTGGACAAACAAAACGTGAATGTAAACACGGAAAAAGTTAACTGAATTCCATAAGAATACGGACAATGAGTAATAAAAATGGGGAAGGCAAACTACAATTTGATTTATTTAACTAATTAAGATTATTGATTATTGGATCTATGTGTTTTACACAAGGTTTATTTAAAACAAATATTGGATTTCGATTAGAATAATTGCCCAATAAATTATGCCGATAGGTTCATTTTACTTTTTCATGTTATTTATTTATTTCAATAGAAGACAGAGGGTTACAGACTTATTATGTCATAGAAGACAATTTTGTAGTTGTTTTTTGTAAAGTGGTCCCTCTATAAGGGTTATTGTAATACCATATACTGTATTTGAATTATTTACTGAATTCCATAAGAATACGGACCATAAGCATTATAAGGGGTTTATTGTAGACTCAATTATTATTAAAATAGGACAAATTAGAGGGATTAAATTGTTTGACAATTTTGAATGAACAATTATTAGTCTACTCTCAGATTTAAAATACATAAAATGAACGGTATTATATTTTTTAATAATAAATTCTGGGGACACAATTAGTTCCATCCTCCAGCTTTGCTACATTGTGAATAGAGGGTGTAAAAAGTGGTTATTGTTGACATTTGTTTTGGGGAAATAAAAAAACAGGAATTGTAAAAATGAGAGAAATGATAATTGTCAGCTGTAAATTCCCAGTTCGAGAAGATAACGAGCAAAGCGTGGGACAGAGGTGGAGCCACCGTTAGTGCTCTGGCTCTCAGGCTGAGAACAAACCACTGTGTCAAAAAACAAACAAAATAATAATAATAATAATAATAATAATAATAATAATAATAATAAATATAAGAAAAAATATGAAAAATATATCCAGAAGAGTGTAAAACTCAGGTGGTTGAGTGGGTTAAAATAAAACCGCTCGTGGTATAGCAACTTGGGGATTTAAAAGGCAGGGGTGGCACAGTGGGAGGGTCCAGAGGGTAAAAATGATGTTGCTTGTGATATATATACTGGGGGTCCTGAGGGAAGGGACGACACAGTGAGAGGGTCGAGAGGGTTAAAGCGTTCAGCCTATTGTCTTTTGCAAAGGGGAAGGGGGGTGGAAGGATCCCATGGGAAAAGGTTAGAGAGAATCCAGGCCTCCACTTGAAATCGACTAAAACAGCCTTCGTCAGCAACGAGAATTGTTAAACAATATACCCGTTTATTTAACTCCAAATTAAGCACTTGGTTTGAATGTGTTTAGATTCCAAGTGAGCACCCCCTGTCATCGTAGATTATCGCAGGTTCGGATTGCGCTTTTTTATCTTATCTAACGCAATGACTGCTGCCACGGGTGTAGCACATCTATCGCAATGACTGCGGTTACGCTTATGGCATATTTAGAGCCTACAATCCACGACAGCAACTGCTTCAACTTTTTTAATCTGTGGAGATCTCCTGAAGGATTGTATATATAGATATCAAAAATTATATGAGTAATTTTCAGACGCACAAAATACACCTTTAATACTTAACAGGTTATTTCAGTCCCCGCACCAAATATATCACGTGCGCGCGCACACCCAGTGACAATATAGGTTATTTCACAAAATCAGCAAAAAATGCTTAAATCGTTGATCATAATACCATATTTAATTCTTTTAATAAATGGTACATTCAAAAGCGTCAATCCGCATGTATGTCCATGTATTGAAGGCTGCCTGTAAAATAAGACAAAACCGTATCCACACATTACCCAGTGAAGAAAACGTTTACCCCGTAACATACATCATTCCGAAGGACAGGTTTCCCCTTGCGTGGAATATCCCGTTATAGTGTCACCGTATTGTGTCCAGGTTAAACTGGCGGTCCTCGTCTATTATAGGGAGAGGACAAGGAAAAAATTAACAGCTGCGTTGAGAAGCGTGTCACAACCTTTACATGAAATAACGAGATCAAAGGTTGGTGATCCACAGATGGTCTTGCTTTCTGCGGCTTTTTTCCTATTTTTACTTGTTTGTTTGTTTGACTTTTCCAGGCAATTTACGTTCATTTCTTTCTTTTTTCCTTCATATTTTCTTTCATCTCTTCCTTTGTCATCAATTGAATAATCCATTCATTTAATTATCTACTTATATTTTATTCAGTTACATTTTTCTTTTACTTGCTTTACAGTTACCGACTCATGCTTTCTTCTCTTTCTCTGTTTTTATATTTTTTATTCTTTTGATATCTATACAATAAAACAATACAGTGAACAGTCCATGTTATTCCTATTATAATGCTCTGCATTTGCAAAAATTTATTGTTAAATCAGGATAAGTGAAATTTTTTATTGTTGAAACAGTAAATTCACATATATATTTTCAATTTCTTTGTTATAATCATCGCAAATTTTACTGTTTTTTATGCCTCGTCCATGCCAAAAGAAATCACACCATCAATTTTTCTCCCTTTTAATTCTAAAAAAGCTTCATAGATAGTTTTGAGAGTTGTGATTATATTTTTTACCAGATATGATATTTACCTTACCCTCTCCCTAAAAATGTCAGGTACCAAAATTCACGGCACTGAAAGTTAACAAAGCGTGCAGTGGACGGTGGATGACGACCTTGTTTTCCTTATCCTCTCCACCTGCTCAAAACCCCGCCTAAAACGCTGCCAGCGTCCCCCAGAATTTCACGTGAGGACCAGGGGTGATTAGTCCTTCGGAAATGAAATCAATAGCGACCAAGAGAGACGCATCTGGTAGGAATTAACAGCCGGGAAAGCAGACAATCCCGTCAGCGTGTTGATTGGCGGATGCGCAGTGAGCGAAGCGGCCGAGATGCGAGGCTAGCGCAGAGGGCGTTGAAGCTCACTTAATGCTAGGCAGTAACGAACGCTGCTGCAGTGGATCTGCCTCTAATTAACCACGACGGGATTAAATACATCCTTCAAACTCTCAGGGTTCGTCGATTGCTGATAAACGCAGTTTTCACAATCGCAGAAAAGCTAGGACTGGGAATATCCCTTTGGTTTCGTTGATCTTGAAAATTCACTGACCAGGGGAAGAAGTCGAGTGAATCGCGCGGGTGTTGGGGTCGCCCACTGTAATGTGATCGCCAGTGAAATACTTGCCGATGATGTCAGAGGAGTGAGAAGGTTGGGGGCACCGACATTAACGGATTTAGTGTTCTATAGTCATACTGCTGGATCCGCACATTACATATTTATGTTAGCTATATTCAGTAGATAGGTCTACATCAGCAGAATGCAGGCTTCATGAACAAGACAGGATACTGAGAGAGAAGAAAAGAAAAAATTACATATTTGAATCATCAACTTGCTGCTAGTGTGCGGAATATTCACTCGAGAATACCTTCTAGCGGTGCATACAGGGGTACGTTGAAAAAGTTGCAATATCATTGAAGAAAAGGGCGTTTTTAGACGAGAAAAGCAAGCCTCTTATTACCTAAGCAGACGAAGATCAATTTTTGTCAATGTTTGACACGCCAGAGTGCAGAAAAAGAGGGATACGGAATTAGAATTGTGATCGATATCAAATTCCTTTTCGGGTGTATGGACTAACAAAGAGATGTGCAACCGTTACAGGAAAACTATGATGTAAGTAAGACTGTCAGAGCGACCAAGTTACTGTATTCTCACGTAAATAATCCCACAACCTAGAACACGGTTATATGTAGTTGCCCCCAGGCTCCCAGTTCATGCTTCCGACAGGGATTAAACAACTCAGTTTTATGTTAAGTTCTTGGGTTGAGCTACATTGCCTGGTGGCAGTTTGCCTGTTTTATTACAGTGTTACACTGCAGATTGCGCCTTTCTTAACGTCCTTATACCTTGTATTTGGCGGAAGAGGGTGTGAGGGGACCCCCCCCCCACCGAACCCTTCACCCTTCCCGCCCCCCCCCCCCAGTACCCCCTGTATCCGCCCACACAACAGTGAATATGAAAGTTGGACGGGAGTGCTCGAGTATAGTATAACACGGACGTGGGAAGCCAGAGGCCTGAATGAATTGTAGAAGAGGAAAAGCTGAGAATAAAAGAGGTCCGAGTATTTACATAGGTTGTTTAGTACATTGTCAGTGACACCAATTCCCGTGGAACGAAGTAGATAGTGTAAATAATAGTTACAAGGTGGAAATGAAACTTTGCTCTAGTCCTGAGACATTTCATATGTTGAACCTTGAAAAACTGTAAGGTGGATTCAATACTATTTTTATTTATTTATTTATTTATTTATTGTTTGTTTGTTTGTTTTGTTTGTCTGTTTGTTTGATTGTTTGTATGTTGGCGGTAAAAACGTGGTAAATTTTAAATTTCTACCCCATGGCCCTCAGTGCCGAGGTTAACGCAGTGCCGTCACTTACTTCACCCAGCTAACTCTCGTAGCGATCATCTCCAGAAATATGTCAACGTGAAGTTTTAACAGTGAAGTAGGTGACACATGGATATCAGTTGTCACTGGTATGGTACGGGGACCCACAGGTAACGCTGCTGGGAAAGCGGGCCCGTCAAAGTCGAGGCTGGTAACATGATACTGTCGCTATGAGTCAGCTATGAGCAACTCCAATATAAGTAGATCTCGTTCAGATTTGCGTTTACAAAAAAAAAAGCGTTAAGCTTTTATTTCATGGAGTAGGTGTTTAATTGCACCTCTCTCTCTCTCACTCTCTCTCTCTGTGAGCTCTCACATCAAACCCATCTTCCGCTTGCCTCAGGTAGAAAAGAGGGGAATTGCAATCAAGCGACTCCATGCTGTTTTATGGACGGCCACGGTGTGTCTTGTCACAGCTCCAGTGGGTACAGTACTGTACGTTACGTGACAAGGTCGATAAGTGCCGAACAATAGCAGCGATGATATAGCAGTGTTACGTGTGTCAGGTGCATTGTGAGATAACCGTCACTTGAATTAAAAGGATAATGAGCAGTGAAAGAAATCCCTGAGACTGGAATACTCCGTACAATAAATAGTAGAAGCTAGCTGAGTGCATGGTGACATTAATACTGACAAATATTCTCGCTGAACAGTTGAAAACCGTCAAGAATTAGCCAGAAACATACATGCGTATCTGTGAATATCTGTTAAAAAGTCAATTTGTGGTCCTGAAATTGGGTAGGCCGTTGTTGAGTGAGGGGAGGGGGGGGTCATAAATTCTATCCCTCGACCGAATTTTAGATTTTGTTTTTTCGGATACGAATGCGATATAGGGCAGTTTTCCAATTATTTCTAATTATCTCGACCATTCTGTCAGTAGCCGAAGACTGCCATTTGGACGCAGAAAAATATAATACAATATATAAAAAATGTAATATTTCAAACGCTGGGTGATGTTAAAACGCTGTTGTAATTTAGTGCCGATATCGTTGCTCTCGTACAGCAGTGATGCATAAGGTGCCCTGCCCACAATAATAGAACTGTAAGTGAAACAATAACGCTGACACAGTCACTCTAAACCTATTACCGCAGTCACAAATATGAAGCTTACACCGTGACACCGTAATAAAATTTGAACCTTCACAAAAGTTGAGGCCATTTGTCCGTTTTCCGACTAAGTATCTCTGGGCTGAAATCTGATATTGTTTTCGCTCTCGCTTCAACTGATGTCACTCTTTACGAGGAAACGAAAGGCTCGTCCAGTGGAATAACCAGAAACCCGGAAAGCAGGTAGAAAGATTACCTTTAGCTGGAAATAAATAAACCTTGATCTCGATTGTGGGTTACACACTCATATATAATATCCGGCTACTCATCATTAAAATTATTGTTATGAATTGGGGTTAATTACTTCCATTGTGTTTATGTCATGATTGAATCTAATTTTATTCCTAATCCAACATGAAAAATATTTAGTTTTAAAACAATTTTGGGATTTTAAATTATATATTTATATATGTAGTTCTATTGTGTTTTACTGGATAGGTCATATTTGTTTTGATTTGAGCGTCCATCGGAAGCAATGCGGATCAACTTGTACCGGATTTCCTGTACACCGGATCTTTATATATTCTGGTTCGGCTGCAGCCAAAGACCAATTTGTGATTGAATTTATAAGACTGACTTACAACTGTAAGATAAATACCAGTTGAAATTAAGATAGAACCGTTCACAGGGTTCTTTTTATTTTAGGTAAGGCATTTCAGACAAACCAATATAGATGCTTGGCCTTACTTTGCTCGAGGTTCGCTATTTGGCCTTCAGAAGATTCGGTTCATTTGCGTATCTCTTATGACGAAGGTAACTGAAAACAGTGCCAGACTCAGAATTTTATGACTAATTTTTCTCTTCTCTTGCTTCAGGTTATGATCAATTCTAAACTTTGCCAGGAAAGATAAGCAGACTGTTATTCAGAAACACCGAACGTTGCCTTTTGTCAGTGTTGGAAACCGCTGCGGAGTAAAATTCCAACGTTATCTACCAAGGGCTTCTATTGATTGTTGGAGTTAAAGGAAAGCAGTGCGTTTTGGGAGATAGAAAGCTGGCAATCTTGGGCAAGGCGCCATCTCAGCACGTAGTTGAAGCAAAAGGAAAAGACAGGAATTTTTCTCCACACACTCTTTCTTATAAAATACGTCTGACGTCGCTGTCGTCATATTTCCTGCCACAGATTTAGCGGCCTTGTGGAAAAGGTATCTCAGTATATATTGTGCATATAACTACTCTCCACATCGGACATGGCTTCCAACACGTGGGACGGTCTAAGTTTTTGTAATTTATCCATAGAACAGGCGTCAGTGAACGGCTTCGCCACCATCAAGAACGCGCAGACGGGGAAAACGGATTATGCCTTTATCGTGGAGGTTCGCTGGTCTGATGAGAGGACACGATTCATCAAACGGACTTTCTCGGATTTTCTTAACCTGCAGTATAAACTTTTGAAATGCTGTGGCAATGAACTGAAGGCTGTCGTTGTAGCCAAGAAGCTGGCCCTGCTGTCAG